TCCTCCGCCCCCCCACGCCCCCACTGGGGCCGGGGGGGCGGAGTGCGCTGCCGAGGGGCGCAGCGGGGACCAGGCACAGGGAGGAGCCGGTGGGACAAGAGCCGGGGCCTCCTGGGGCCCAGGAGAACTTTCTTCTTCATACAACTGTGCCGGGAGGATCCGCTTCAGGATACGGATCCAAAGGGAGCGTGAGATGCCAAGACAGCGCCGCTGATCTGCCCCAGCCCAGCTGGAAAGACAGCCCTTGCCTGCTCCTTCACCAAAGCAAACAGTTAAGTGCAACCTTTTCCTTCATCCCTGCCCCCCCACCCTCCTTTCCTCCAGCATCCGCTGCCCACAGCTACGTTCTTCCCACCCTCTCCCGCTGACCGGCAGCGCTCTCCCCAGGTACTCTCTCCGCTGCCCTTCACTTGCCTTCTGCATCTCCTGGTGAACCTCCCTCGCCCTTCCCTCCCATCTCCTTCTCCCACCCCACAATGTCCACCACTCCCCTGCCCAGCACGTCCCCCTTGCCCTCCACTGATGCCTTTCTGAAGCAGAGACCTGGCGAGAGGTCTCGTGTCTCAGCCCCGGCTTCTCCGAGCCACTAATGCCCCGTCTGCTCCTACCGCAGCTGGGGACCACATCCCACCTCCCATCATGGAGCTGAACGATATCTTCCCAGTTCCCACATCACCCATGATGGAGATCAATGGAGACGAGCCATGCAGGATGGAGGTCACCAACATGGCCATAGATGGAGTGACGCTGCTCGTTGCCCTCTGCGGGCTGCTGGGGAATGCAGCCGTCCTCTGGCTCATCAGCGTCCGCATCCACAGTAACCCCATCACCAAAAACATCCACTACCTGGTAATTGTTGACAGCACCTTCCTCCTTTTCATGGGAACCTTTTCCCTCCTCTACATGATAGAGAATGCCTCTTGCTCCGCTGTTGTGCCTCCGATACACCTGGAGTCGTTTTTGCTGCTCTCACCCCTCTTCTACAGCTGGGGCCTGTACCTCCTGACAGCTGTCGGCATTGAGAGGTGCGTGTCCATCCTCTGCTCCAGCACCTACAGCCCCTGGCTCTTGTTGGCTGTGGACAGTGTCCTGCTCTGGGTCCTCCCCTTCGTTGTCATGGTCTCAGTGACTTCTCTGTGCCGGTTGCGTGAGCATGAGCACTGCCGGATAGCCCTCATCTCCACGTACAGCCTCAACTTATTCATCTTTGCACCAACCATGGTCATTTCCAGCACAATCGCCTTCATTAAGGTCCTGCGTGGCTCCCAGCAGCACCAACCCAAGAGGTTCTACGTTGCTATCTTCCTCACCATCCTCTTCTATCTCATCTTTGGGCTTCCCCTCAGCATCTGGAATTTCCTGCAGCAGTTTGACTACCCCGTCATTTCCTACCAGGTTGTTTTCCTGCTCGCCTGCATCAACAGCAGCATCAAGCCCTTCATCTACTTCTTGGTGGGGAGCTGCAGGAGGCACTGCTCCTTGGTGTCGCTCCGGGTCGCCTTCCGGAGGGTCTTCAAAGAGCCAGAAGACAACACGGCATGCAGCAACGCTATTAGGATGGACCCACTGGCCCCAGCCAGTTGAAGCCTTTCCAGCCTTGCTCTGCTTAAGGCCCCCGGCTCAGTGCCTGAGGGCTTCCTTGGTGTCCTGGTTTGGGCTGGGACAGAGTTCATTTTCTTCCCAGGAGCTGGCACAGCGCTGTGTTGTGGACTGAGCCTGAGAAGAATGTTGACACCACCCGGGTGGCTCGGTTGGTGCTGAGCAGGGCTTACACTGGGCAAGGACTTCTCAGCTTCCCTGCTCTGCCAGGGCCACAGGGCGCGACATGGCGGGGACAGCCAACCCCAACTGACCCCAGGGTATCCCACGCCGCATGACGTCCTGCTGAGCACCTAGAGCTGGGGGAAGAAGAAGGAAGCAGGGGACACTCGGAGTGATGGCATTTGTCTGCCCATGTCACCGTTACACGTGATGGAGCCCGGCTCTCCTGGGGATGGCTGAGCACCCGCCTGCCCGTGGGAAGCAGGGAATGAATCCCTTGCTTTGCTTTGCTTGCTTGCGCCACTTTTGCTTTACCCATTGAATGGTCTTTATCTCAACCCATGAGTTTTCTCACTTTTACGCTTCCGAATCTCCCCCCCGCCCCACCGGGGGGCAGGGAGCGAGCGGCTGGGGGTGCTGAGTTGCCTTTCCACCCTTGCTCTGCTTAAGCCCCCCGGCACGGCGGCTGAGGGTTTCCTCGAGTAACCGGATTAAATGATGTCTGCAGTATTTCCCTCTCGCGGTATCATTCTGCCCCCTGCAGAAGAGGAGAGCAGGGCCTTCGCCAAGGCTGCTCTGCGGGGAACCTGTTGGAGCACGGCTTTCCTCCCCACTGCCAGCCCACCCCGGTTCCGAGGGCTCTATTCCCCCAAGGGGCCCATGCCCCAGAGGACCGCGTTCCCATCTCGCACGCTGTCAGCTTTTCGGGATGAGTATTGCCTTGGGAAACTCTGACTCATCTACGGAGTGGAATTAAAACCCTTTCCATCTTCTAAGCCCCTCTCCTCATCCCACATCCCAGCCCGCGCAGTTTCTCTGACCTCTGCTTCCCTCCCTCCCCCGTCCCCAGCGGGGGGACCACTGCCCCTCACCGGGCTCTGCCGAGGCCCCGCTGCCCCCCCGTCCCGCCGGTGCCCCGTTCCCGTACCCCACTGCTGCCTGACATCAAGAAACGGCTCCGTGCACCCTGAGCTGCCTTCGGTCCGTGTGCCGGCGCTTGCTGGCTTCGGCCGGGTCCTGCTGCCAGCGGGGGGTGCGGGTGCAGGGAGGGGGGACGCACACACGGCTTCTGCTCGCCAGAGCCAAAATGGTGCCAACCACCCCCAGCTGGGGTTGTGCCAGCACACGGTGCGGCCAGGATGGGCCCAGGGGTACAGCGGTGGCCCCAGACTGTTTTATTAGTGTCACAGCAAATATCTCCCCAATTTTTTTTATTTTTATTTAATTTTGTAAGCCAGGTCTAAGTGTAAAGGACTCTTTCTTCTGAAATTCTTCCTCTCCCCTGGCTTCAGCAAGCTGGACCATTTCTCCTTCTTCAGCAGGCTGGGGCGGTGCAGCAGCAAGGGGAAGGGGAGTCCGTGGTCCCCAGCCTGGCCACCAGCTTCCAGGGCTGGGGTGCCAGGCCTGTTGGTCCCCACGGGCTCCACGGGGCATCACTCGCCCCCCTACGGCTTTGCCAAGTTCTCAGCCCATCGCAAAGCCTCCCGTCCCAGCGGCGGGGAGAGCTGTGGGTGTGCAGAAAGACGGTGCCAGGCCAGCAGCAGCGTGTCAGACGGCTCCGGACCAAACGCTGTCATGCTGGGCCTCAGTTTCCCCCAGCACCATCGTGGAGGGAAGAGGAAGGAGCCTTGCCCATCCTGGGGCTCCCCGGGGACCCACCGGGCTGCTCGGTGCAGCCTCCTCCCACGTTGCACCACTGGCACATCTGGGGCTGGTCATGGA